GCATTAATCCATCTCTAAGCTAAACTACCTATCGTAGTGTCTTTAAAAATTTATAACGTAGCAATTACTTAAATATCAATTTATACTACGATGATAAATCATTCGAAAATTTGACATAATGGAAATTATTTATAAAGAATTCGTATAAATGTTGAAGATTTATCATCGAAAATGCCATCAAATATTGATGTCGGTTTTTAATATTCTGCATTTCTTTGTACCTGATTAGATATCGCTCTACTTAAACTCTTCCATTTATATTAACCTATATAAGGGGGGGGAAATTACAAGAGATGATTGATGATTATCTCAATAAAACTAACTAAAATTTCTCTACAATATTTATTATAAGCTTTAGAGAGTATCAAACTTCATCCCACTCCAAACTAGGAATAGTTTAATACATTAGCAGAAGCCATAAATGTCTGTAGACAGCTTAATTTAATTGTTTAAGCATTTTTCAATGCTTGCCACTATCCTATAATGATGTTATGCATCGATTTTTTTTTTTGGTAAAACGTTTTTTTATAACTTCGCTTAATTAACATAATAGATGTATTATTTTTTTTTTTTTTCGTTATTCTCTTAAAATTATTGAACATAATGCCTATAAAAACTCAGTAATAAGGAGTTTAAAACATAATAATTATAGATTATATACCTAATATTTATTTTAGATAATCAGTTTAAAGTAAATTACTCCGAAACAATTATTTAAATACAATCGAAAGTCTAATAATTTATCATTATAACGAATTGAACTTCTTGAGGAATTATTGGAGTTTTCTTTATTATTAAAGTTTCTATTCAAATAATCAATTGATTCAGTAGTAGAATGAGATCATTAATATATAAAAATAATTGTCATATATTCGATATTTTATATCATTATTTTGTCTTAAAGGTTTGTCAATCCTAATACATTAACATAGAAAATAAGCATAATATAACTTTGATAATGAATTCATAATACAAGTTGGCACGACCCTATAAAAATATAGGGTTTAATTTATGAATTTTTTAGCTTTTAAGAAGGGTAAATTAATTGAGATATCGAGTAAGAACTGGTTAAAAAGTAACGAATTATTTAGTTTGGAAGTAATCAAATAGAACGAGTGCATGAATTTATATTTTTACCTCAAAGCAAAAGAGGTTCAGTTGAAAGAATTAACGAGGAAAATGTTGAATAATTGAGAGCGCGAGTGAAGATTTACTGTGTAAAACAAGTTACTTCGGTTCGATATATTAACGTAATTCTTTTGAAATTGCTTAAAAACAGAAAGTAGAAGGAATTATTGGCTTTCTTTACTACAGCTGGAGAAGAGAAAATAAACTGTTGTGCTCTGTAAAGAATGCTTCAAAAATAAACTGGCGTACTCTAGAAATGAAGAAGTGCATCATTTGTCACTTATCCAATTCATTTCTCGTTATTACTATTATTTATACGTTTAAAATTGTCTTAGTTTTGTATTAAAAATGATAAATTTTCTTTAAATAATATAAACAAAATTTTTAAATTTATTATAATTTTTACTTAATTAAATAATTCTAGTTATATTTTAGATAAATACCCATACGATGAATTATTAATAATTGACTTATTGCATTTATAAGAATCTGCTATCATTTTTTTCTAAATTAAAAAATATATATATTACAGCTTAATAAATAATTCAACGAGGTTAATATCTAGGTATTATTTATGTAATGCTTAAGTATTGTATAATTAAATAAAACGTTCGATGATGTTGCGTGATTAGTGGTACTAGAACAAACGGAAATAATACTTTTTCATAAAATATGTATGCATGAAAGTTATATGTAAATAATGAAATTAAACTCTATTGAAACGGTGTCAAATTATAGACTTATGGACAAGAAAATATATTTAAAAACGAAACTTTCTCTGAATAAATATATTAAGTTTTACCTTATTAAGTTAATATATCATTCGCAGCTTTATATATACATATATATTTGTTATATTATTAAAGAATACAGTAGAACCCCCCTATAACACTGTTGATAATTCCGTTTTATATGAATTCCATGTTGTACGAGTCACTTAGATTTTACAAATACGTGAGCCATTCACAGCCCGGCACACGTATTTGTAAAATCTAAGTGACTCGTATAACGTGGAATTCATATAAAACGAAATTATCAACAGTGTTGGAAAGGGCTGCTTTGTTCGTCATGGAGATTGGTGTGTTTTCGTTGATAAATATTTTGCCCATTTTGTTTTACCTGATTTTGTTTCTACAATATTTAACTTAAAACTGACTCAATTATAACTACTAATGTCTGGTATTGAGTCAAACCCAGGACCGCTTAAAAAAACGCCAATCAAAAGAGGGGTAGACCTCCAACAAACCGAGTTACGCAATCTTCACTTAACATTAAACCAGCTGAAGGTGAAAAACAACTTAAAAAGTGAGAATGAACTTCTTCAATTTAAGATTGATTCAATGTATAATAAACTAAAGAATAATAATTTAATAATATATGATCATTCTAAAATATTTACTGATGGTAATGAAGAGGACTTAACTGAATTTTTTTAAATCATTCACTAAATATCCCATGCAAAATGAATGAAGAAATTAAAACAATCTGTAATATTCCTAATTCAAAGATTAATATCAAATGTTTAACTTTAAAATCTGATCAATTGAGAAATAATATTATGATCACCTTCAATAAACAAAAACAAAATAATTCGTTGGGACCATGGAAAAACTTAAACATGTCTGTAGATTTGGTTGTGAATGCTCGTAAGAGAAGAAAAGCTTTATTACCTTACTATATCGATTTAAAAAAAAAACGAAATATACAGGCTAAATTATGAGATGATTTTCTTCTAATTAAACAGAAAAAAGTAACTTACAGTTTTTCTTAATAAATCAATTGGTATACTCAGAGGATTTTTTAGAATATACGACATAAACAATTCTGTTAATTGTCAATCTCCAATAATACTCAATAATGAAGCTGATTACAAATAAAAATCAAGAAAAATCCTATCTATTGGAACTGTAATGGATTATTGAAAAAAAAATTAATAATATTAAATTTAGACATTTATTAAATAATACAGACATAATGAGTCTAACGGAAACCTGGTTGACTTTGCCTGATGAAGGATTAAAAAATAATTACTGTATATGGAATTTACTGTTATATCAACTGTGGTACAAAAACTACTTGGGCCCGGTCGTCCATATGGTGGCTTAAGTTTATTCATCAAGAAAAATATAGGTCTAATTAGGAATATACAGTAAAACGATAATTGTATATCAGTTTTAATCCAAAATACAGTTCTTACTAAACAGATTAATAGCCATTATATTAGTTTATATCCCTCCAGATCAACTTCAGATTTTAAATGCTATTTTTAAGCTCATAGAACAATGGAAAATCATTACCCCATATATTATAATAATAGGAGATTTAAAATGCGATAATATCTCAAAAAAAATAGATATGGAATAAAAGGGAACTAATCTAGCGATTTAAAATATTCGTAAATCAAAAGACAAAAAATATAACAAATTAGGACTTCAATTACTAGAATATATGGATCAATTACAACTATATATTTTGAATGGCAGAATTAAAAATGATTACCCGGTGGAATTTACTTGTTTGACCAATTCTGACTGTTCAACAATAGATTTAATAATATTATCAACAGTGTTATAGGGGGGGTCTACTTTATAGTAAATAATAGAGTTGAAAACATTCAATAGTTTCAATCTATCGATTATCTATAAAAAGAAATAATTTAATAATTATTTTATTTATGATTAAGAGTAATTCCAGGTATTTATGAACGTCTACTTTTTTTTTTTTTTTTTTGAATTCTTTTATGCTTCATCATCATTACTAAAGCAACCATTTAGTTAAAAGTTTAGCAATCTCCACAACAATCTAACTCAGAGATAAAGGGAACATATAATCGTTTGATGGATGATGTGGCAATTCGCTTGTTTATGGTTAGAACCATCCCTCGGTCATTACTTCACCAAAGATGAAACTAATCGAGATGGAATAGCTTCGGAGAGATTGTAATTTTAATTAAAAAAAAAGAAAGAAAAATATCAAATCAATACTTTTTTTTAGACGTTAAAAATATTCATTTCATCAAATTTGTAAGATTAAGCTTTAATGTAATCGAATAGCAAGAATTTATAATAGAAGAAGAAGAAGGGGGAAAAGTTTGAAATTATGGACACGGTGTAAAACGTCAAAGGAAATAAGCCAATTTCAATTCCAATCTATGAAAGGATGAACTTCTTAAAATATCTTGCTTCCTTCATTTCAGATTCAATCTTTTTCCAACAGAAACGAGGGGAAAAGAGGAGGAGGAGGAGGAGAAGGAAGAAAGAAAAGGAAAATCGATTTGGCTTTATGCTAGCCTCTTGCAGAAATTTACAATGGGCTCTACTAAAGAATAAGAAAGAAAAAGAAGAAGAAAAAAAAAAAAAGAGCACTCCGTTCGTTTCAATGCATTAATGGATGGAAGTGTCTTACTAAAATAACATTTAGTATTATTTTTCCTTTTAAAAATCGAATTCTTAAATTATAACTTTTGAAGTTGTTAAATAAGAAGATCGTGTTTTCTATTATACAATATATATATAAATGTATCCGGAAGTTGTTTGCAGATAGCACGTGGTAAACACGTGGAGGATAAACAGCACGACATCCTGCTCATTTTTCTCCTCTTTCCCCGGAGGTCAAGGAACAGGAAATTGTTTAATTTGTGAACGAAAAACGAAGGAAACTCTCTCTCTCTCTNGGAACATATAATCGTTTGATGGATGATGTGGCAATTCGCTTGTTTATGGTTAGAACCATCCCTCGGTCATTACTTCACCAAAGATGAAACTAATCGAGATGGAATAGCTTCGGAGAGATTGTAATTTTAATTAAAAAAAAAGAGTGTATTTTCTACTAAATATCCATTATTTCTATTTTTTTTTTTTTTTTTTTAATAGCATCAAGCAATGGGCTCCCAACGTCGATCCAATTATGATTCGGCAACAGTTCAGCAAAGCATTTAAAGTTTGGAGTGATGCATCGAGTTTGACTTTTCAACAAACTCGTGACATCAATGCCGATATCGTGATATCATTTCTGAGAGGATCCCACGGAGACGGATATCCATTTGATGGTAGAGGATCCGTTTTGGCTCACGCTTTCTTTCCTGGTGAAGGAATTGGTGGGGATGCACATTTCGATGCCGAAGAACTGTGGATGTCTACTCTTCCAGAGTCGGATAGTGAAGGTAAGTTCTATTTAAAAACCGAAAAAAATGATACTTTAACAACATCTATCGTTACAAACACTGCGAGATAGCGAAACAAATGTTTTTCTCTTCTTATAATGCTACACTTTATATAAACGACTCATCCAGAGAAATGCTAAAAATATACTAACTTTGTTAACCAATTTTTCCCCTCTCTTATTATAAATATACCATATATTCGAATGTTATTTTTCTATTTTTAACTTCCCTAGGGTAGGATATCTTAGAATAATAGTAAAACTCCTACCGTCAGACGATTTTTCTTTATATTCAACAGAGAAAAAGTGTATCCTACGTTGGATAACCGATTCTTTCTTCTATATATATCTACGACATGGACGTCTGGTATTTTGTAAAGAGAGGAAAGAAGGGGCAATACCACTATGTTTACAGTATCTAACGTTCGAGCTGTTTTGCCAAGAATTCTGAAAGTTTTCGCTGTTAAAAAAAATATTATAGATAGAAGAATTCCTTAAAAATTGTACATCTCAACTTTAACGATAACATATATATATATATTTTTTTTTTAAGTATTGAAATCTTTGTGTAGTGATATTTAATAATATTTTTCTCTAAATTTGAATTTAAAAAGATGATGTTTGATGTTATAAAACGTTACATTTTAATCCGAAAAAAAAACACTTTCAAACATTATTATTATTTATAAATCATTTAAATAAAAGAAGAAGAAAATCGATGAATCGATAAGAAAAATTTCCATCACGTAAGATTTAACACGATAAAATTTTTGAAATTATAAGAGCTCGATTACAATTTCATTAATCACGAAATAATAATAATTTATACGAAACTGGAAAAGTTTTCAACGAAAGGAAATTCATATTTGTCTGTTAGAATTTCACAAGTGCGCTCTTTATAATGAGAAAGACATCCGGTCTCTGAAGACAAATGTTTGTCATCAATATCAGCTTCCTTGTGCACAAGCAACTTTATAATCGAGTTCATTTTTCATTCTATCAACAAGTCAATGCGATGTTCCATCTAAAGAAAAAGAAAAAACTCTTTAGAACTTTCTAACAGGATCAATAATCTGTTTGTTAGACTCTATGCAGAATGGAAATGTTATTGAATATTGAACCAAGTAGTAAAGTGCATTCATTACTTTTCTTTTAAAGTTACAGATACGAATGAATGCTAACAGCAATAAAATTAAATACAAAAAAAAAAGTATGTCTAGATAGGATCATTGATCAAACTTTTACATCAAGTGCTTATTAATCTTTTATAATCAATCGATCTGACCTTTTAATACTTCTTTTATGTATTATATTTAATAACCAATTGCTTAATACTATTACTATATTTAGCAGTGTTGAATAGAATGTAGTTAAAGAAGTATATATTGAATAGTTTCTTATTTAAAAAAAATATATATATATAAAATAATTAATATGATACATTTCTCTACATTTTATCGNCGCTTAATTAACATAATAGATGTATTATTTTTTTTTTTTCGTTATTCTCTTAAAATTATTGAACATAATGCCTATAAAAACTCAGTAATAAGGAGTTTAAAACATAATAATTATAGATTATATACCTAATATTTATTTTAGATAATCAGTTTAAAGTAAATTACTCCGAAACAATTATTTAAATACAATCGAAAGTCTAATAATTTATCATTATAACGAATTGAACTTCTTGAGGAATTATTGGAGTTTTCTTTATTATTAAAGTTTCTATTCAAATAATCAATTGATTCAGTAGTAGAATGAGATCATTAATATATAAAAATAATTGTCATATATTCGATATTTTATATCATTATTTTGTCTTAAAGGTTTGTCAATCCTAATACATTAACATAGAAAATAAGCATAATATAACTTTGATAATGAATTCATAATACAAGTTGGCACGACCCTATAAAAATATAGGGTTTAATTTATGAATTTTTTAGCTTTTAAGAAGGGTAAATTAATTGAGATATCGAGTAAGAACTGGTTAAAAAGTAACGAATTATTTAGTTTGGAAGTAATCAAATAGAACGAGTGCATGAATTTATATTTTTACCTCAAAGCAAAAGAGGTTCAGTTGAAAGAATTAACGAGGAAAATGTTGAATAATTGAGAGCGCGAGTGAAGATTTACTGTGTAAAACAAGTTACTTCGGTTCGATATATTAACGTAATTCTTTTGAAATTGCTTAAAAACAGAAAGTAGAAGGAATTATTGGCTTTCTTTACTACAGCTGGAGAAGAGAAAATAAACTGTTGTGCTCTGTAAAGAATGCTTCAAAAATAAACTGGCGTACTCTAGAAATGAAGAAGTGCATCATTTGTCACTTATCCAATTCATTTCTCGTTATTACTATTATTTATACGTTTAAAATTGTCTTAGTTTTGTATTAAAAATGATAAATTTTCTTTAAATAATATAAACAAAATTTTTAAATTTATTATAATTTTTACTTAATTAAATAATTCTAGTTATATTTTAGATAAATACCCATACGATGAATTATTAATAATTGACTTATTGCATTTATAAGAATCTGCTATCATTTTTTTCTAAATTAAAAAATATATATATATATAAAATAATTAATATGATACATTTCTCTACATTTTATCGTTATTCCCTTCTAACAATTATATTAAAAAGACGTTCGTTTAATAAATTAAGTTCACAGCAGACATCTTGAATTTTAAAAAATTCGGATATAAAATAAATTTTTTTAATATTATTTTAATTGATTAAAACTAATGAATGAATCATAAGCTCATTAACAGTTTAAAATGTGACGGGAAGTAGAAATTATTTTTAACTAAATGTAAATAGTTAATCTATGATCTAACTCCTACAGTTTTTATTGTTAAAATACTTACTTTTTCTTCTTTAAAATTCAATCTTCATCTCTGTTTAGTGTTCGCTTCGTATCTTAGTTTACCTGGGAAATGTTGAAAATTGATTTTCTTTAAATTTCTACCTTTTTTTTTTTTTTTACTTTATTCTTCCCTCCCCTCCGAGGAAACTTATCGAATCTTTCTACTGTGCCGAATCTAACATCCTTCCTTCCTTATGTTATATAATTATAAAGAATGGCCGTCGATCGAACATTTTTTGGAAAAGCCCATTATCGTTGGATGATGTCACGTCTTCTCACTCTTTTAAGGTCTGTTCCATATTTATATATATACGGTATTAAAATAAGAGAAGAGAATTTAATTCCATTTCTCTTTTAAAAAATCGAATGGAAATTTTATAATGTTTAACTCGTATACGAAGAATTATTTTGTTAATATAACTGAGCTGATTAATGAATTAAGAACAAAAGTAAAGAAATTTAACGAAATGTCAGCCACTTTGCCAAATAGTAATAAAATTTTAGCGGCCGAGTTGGCGTCTTTTTGGATCGTTTCATCATTTCCCTCCGGACGAAATGTCTTCATAAAATACGAAAAATCGATAGAATGTTTGGAGTCTTCGACCTTTGATGTCTTTTCTTGTTTCCTCCTCTTTCTTTTTTTTTTCTATTGATATTAAAGCTTTGATTAATTTATTTCCTCTTTCGCTATCTTAATGAAATATCTTCCCCCGCTAAAAAGCTGTTAATTTTCGAAGCTTTATTCGATAATTATCAAATTTAACTTCCTAATTTATATATATATATTTTTCTTTCTTGTTAAAACGGTGAATTAAAACCAGTTTTAAGTAAGGAAAAAAAGCATTTCATAATTGAGCAAGTCGTAGGTGGTCTGTAGACGAAAAACGTGTTCGTCACCGGTTGTCCACCCTACTAATTCATCAGAAGATTGACTTTCCTGATGTACAGGATATTTCTGGCACAAATGACACTAAGTGACATCTAAGATAAATCTGATTAGAAGCTTTTGATGTATAGGAAAAATACTGTAAAGGAAAAATAGTAAAAAAAAAAATCCTCTTAATTTAGAAAAATCTCTTATTCAGATTTCATATACTGTACAATTAGCCAGAACGATATTTTAATATATTTTTAAAACTCTGTAATGGTGTCCCACTGGCAACTGAAAGATTTAAAAAGTTATATGAGTCATACTGCCAAATTTCCAGCTGCCATTGATCCACCACCGTATGAGTCAAATACATGTTCTTGTTCCTTCCATGCTTTAGTTTCAAGAGCAGGACAAGAATAATTTCGCATAAATGATGTACTGTACTGTACATTCGTCATATATTTTACCACAAAATATTTATTTAGAACGATTAAAAATAACTTAATTATTATTGATGTATATAGCCAGAAACGAATAATTAAAAAAAAAAAAATACAGATTGAATTTATTTAACGAGCGTTAATCCCGAAAAGAAATTAATTTATGCAAATTACACGTATTATAAAAGGGGAGAAAAATCATCGTAATCCTAGTTTTAACTGAGGCTGATTTGTTTGCACAACTCGACCATAACGGGTGATACTTTTAACGAGATTTGATGCACTGCCAAATTATTATAGTACAGCGGGTCACGTCGTATTCGGCAGTAAATGTCACGTTTAAATTCCATTATTTATTTATTTATTATAAAGTAACCTTTATGATATCTCACAGATCGACAATCACCCACTAAATAAGAATTAAAACGTTGTAGAAACGTCTTGTGAATTTTCAAAAAAAAAAGATTTATATAGTTTAGAAATAATAATAAATTTTAATATTATAGTTGATGATTTCTTTTATGCATTAATAAATCGATATTGATAAAGTCTTTCTGACTGATGCGAGTATAATAAACAGAATTAAGAAGTCGGAACACAACTGAGCTATTTTATTACCACTGCCGAATATTTAATTTAATATTGCCAGGGTTTTGAAATTATAAACCTTGGATACGGAAGAATAACGAACAAAATAACTTACTGTTGCTATAGAAACATTTATATAACAAAAAAGTAAGCTAAATAACCAAAACCATTATATAACAGGCCCGTATAATACACTTAACTCGTAACAGTAAAATTATAAAATGTGT